AATGGAAATCATTACAAACTGTAACTTAGATTTTATTTCAAAGTTTGGGATTAAAGTAAAATGTTAAATGTCAATTTCACTCCTCTTCGGATAAACATCAACAATTCATCCACAATGTGTGTTGCACCCATGCAGTCCATTACTGGGGGCTTCTACATAGTACAGCTCTACCACATGTTCAAGGTTGTGACTTATCCCTTTTTAAAACAAAATGTGAAACCTGATGACTCAAAAGTCATTGGTTATTTTTTAAAAAACCTTTTTAGTCAAGTGGTGGCGGCGCTCGCCTTTAATCCCAGCACTCAGGAGGCAGAGGCAGGTGGATCTCTCTGAGTTCGAGGCCACCCTGGTCTACCCAGCCAGGGCTACACAAAGAAACCCTGTCTTGAAAAATTATTTTTAAATAAAGGAGATTGTAGGGGGATGCCTATACCATCTCTCACCAGCATCTACTTCCACCATACTATCTATCTGGACATTTAATCGCCATATGCATTCTGTGGTACATTTAACTTATTTTGCTCTTATTCACTGACCTGCCATAATTACAGAGCACTTTTACTCTGCCATGCACATTATATGTTAAGTCCTGGGGACTTAATGCAATAGCTCATTGTTCTAATAACAGTGTTTTAAACATAGTAAGGCACTTTATAATTAAACCAAAATCTAAGAATAAACTAATATCTAAATCTTAACATTTACAATACCTATGGGAGGGTTATTAATTTAAAAAGCAATTCTATTGAGATACTTTCTAAGAAGGTGAAAGAGCAGAAATAATTCAAAACAGATCATTGGTGGTACATAAATTCTATTTTCTGGCTGGTGTTAACATTTTATAGATTATATTAATAGTTAAAATAAGAAGCCAGTGACATGACTCAGTAGGCAAAGGCACTTGTCAGCAAGACTGATAACTTGACTGCAAGTTAAGTTTTTTGCTGTTCACAAATAAATTGAAAATACAGAATAGGGGAAGAAGGAAAATGACCATAGTTACCTAAATGTTTTCATGTTTATGTCATAAATCCAATTACACAATGGTCCATTTCAGGAAAATATATGCTCGGGAATAACTAGAATTAGGTTCTATAAACATACCACAAAACTTCCCTCTCTGTCTGTGGCAGGACTGTCCTGTCGTCTGTGCTGCTTCCCCTGTCAAGTGGACTTTTTCCACAAAAAGGCATCATGGTACTTAGTAAGTTCACATTTGCGTTACTGTGCTCAGGAGACACCATGGAAAGAGAATCTTCCCATTCCAATAATTGCAGTAGACATTGCAATTTGTTTCTAAGCATATGATCCCGAATAATGTATTAATTCTTGGTACAATAAATTTTCCATAAAGATTGAATATGTTTATTGAGTTAACCTGGTCCAAATAAAATATATCTTGAATCTGGAAAGGTGAGATAAATTATCCCAACCAAATTTCAATAAATTAAGTTACATGTAATAGCTGAAATTACACAGATATTATATATATGGTAATCTCTGTTCAACGTGCCTTAGAGATAATAAATATTGTAATCCTTACCAAAATACTGTAAGATGAAGAGTAATCATTCTACAGAGGTGAAAATATCTTCATGGAACAGTTAATGATTACAGTTGCATAGCAGCAAAGGGATAAAGCAAAACTTTGAACACAGATAGTATAAAAAAAATCCCCTACCATTTGCAAAAGAAGGTTTCATACAATGGGATGACCACTAATCATATCCATTAAATGGAAGAGTAAAAAGAAATTTATTTTCAACCATCTCAGACTCCAGATACATATGTAAGGTGTTACAAGTAAATACCTTGTATCAAAAACACTCTTGTGTCTTCACTATCCATACATTTTTATGATAATTGTTTCCTGAAGTAAAAATGCCTTTATTATTAGAAAAAAACTTGTGTATTTCCAAATCCAACATTTACTGCCCTTGTACATATTGTATTTTAATGAAAGGGTTTTCATTGATTTTTCTTTTGATTGTAAAACAGAATGACAAATGAATAGCTAGAGTTTTGGTTAGAACCAAGAACTTCATGGATAGTTGTTTTCCAGGACAAAATGATCATTTGATTGAATTATTTATTTTGTTCTATTTATTTGTTAAGTTCTATTGTTTTGTTACCAGTGCAGGTATTTATCTCAAGAATCCTTTCCCTGAGAAGATATGATGCCCAGAAATTTAAATTGGAAAATAATCTTATGTTTTTGTAATTATTATTAATCAGAAACAGGAAATCCAGCAACATGAGATTTATTATTTTAGAAAACAAAGCTAATGGCTGAGAATTTTAGCATAACTTCCTGAATACTCCATGCTATCCTATTTCTCACAGTGCACAAATCTGACACAAGTAAGTCTAATTTGTGCTTGTTTTTCATGTTTCTTGATTTATTGTTTATAGAGATTTCCTTATCCCCATAGAGAAAAACACTTTGGCATACAGACATGTATTTGAAAATATTTTTAAATCCTTTAGATCCAAAAAACTCATGTACAGAAAGTGAAAATTCAGTACTTGTTTTTTTTATTTGAGCAGAAAGTCATATATTTACAATCTAGAAAATAATAGTTGATTGTGAGTACTGTTTTCCTTATGTAGAAAAAAATTTAAGTGCTGTATTTTACTTCCAATAGAGAACAAAGTTGCACCAAATCACTTTTATTGTAATAGATCTAATTTAAATATTTTGATTTACATTTGTTTCTCTTTTTATTCTGTAATAAAACACCATGACTTAAACCAAAAAACAAACAAAAAACTGATAGCTTGAGTTCATTCTCTATTACCATATGGTAGAAAGAGAGAACTAACCCTTGCAAATTGGCTTCTGGCTTTCACACACATGTGCACCTCCACACAGAAAATATGTTGCCTGCTTTTGGGACCCTTTCCTTCTACTGGGTTGCCTCATCAAGCCTTAATGGGGGAAGAGGTGCCTATTCACACTGCAACTTGCTATGCCATGGCTGGTTGATATCCACGGAAGGCTTGCCCCCGCCCCTTTCTGAATAAAAATCAAGGAAGAGCAGGTTGCTGGGGGTGTGGACACAGGAGTGGAGGTTGGGGTGAGGGAGACTGAGAGGAGAGGAGGGAGGGGAAACTGTGGTCTGGATGTACAAACAAATTTAAAAATTGTTCTTTAAATTATCAATCGCAGTAGGTATCTTATATACACTAGGTAACTTCCTTGGTCTTCTCACACACTCAAAGTTGATAAGATGGCTTAGGGAGTAAGATGCTTGCTGCAAGCCTGGCCATCTGAATGAGATCCCTGGAACTTACACAAGCTGGAAGAAGAGAACTGACTCCATCAAGTTGTCCTCTGACCTACACACACACACACCATGAGTTTTGCACACAGTACGACACATTAACTATGAAGAGGAAAATGGGAAAAACAGGGAGGGAGGGGAACACTTACCTAAGGAGGGAAGAAATGCAACATGGAGTGCTAAATAACACTAAGGATATTTGGAGAAGCTATGGGGATATATAATTTATGGTGGCAATGCTCTCAAAACCATAAAAAAAAAAAAAACCACCCAGTGCCAGGCATGGAAACCCTCCTTTTGAGTTGGTCTGGAGAGTCCAAGAGACCCCTAAACAATATAGGCCACTGCCATCATCCTTGGTACTTTCAAGAAAAAGAAGGTAACAGCCTATTGCTGAAGACATCACACACTTAACACCCAGTATTTGAAGGAGTTGACCTGGAACTCTGAGAACTCATTATAGCTTGAACAACCCCTAAGGACATTCTAATGCTTATTCTTACATCCAGAGACCAGTGTGGCTCACTCATAAAAGAAGCCCCTTTTTGCTGTTAGCAATTACTACAGAAAGCCACAAATGGTCAGATGCAAGGACCAACAGAGCATCGAATGCCTGCTCCTAATTAATACATTTACAACAAAAGCCCTCCATTTAAGGCTCAGGAAACATCACAGAAGAGGGGGCAGAAGGATTGCAAAAGCCAGAGGACCAAAATATTTACTGCAAAGACAGTTTCCTTTAAAGGGGGAGGATATGACATGGACTGTGTGTGTGGAGGTGGCGGCAATGGTTCTGGGAGAAATTGGAGGGGAACACCAGGGATGAAAAAGATTTTATACATTGTATAAAATTCTCCATGAATAAAAACACTATATTTAAAAAAATACTAAATGCCTACTGTGTGAGAAACTTGTTCATACTTCTGTAATGTGAAAATATTTAAAGTGACATAGAAATGATCATTTCCAGTCTGTGCACTATATGAAATAATAAGAGACAAGCCACGGAGGTTAATTTTTAATAGGCATGCATTGAAGTAACCTGTAACCTGTACTTGAACTGTTCCCATATAAATGTAGAAAGATAGAAATACACTATCTTTGTATTATATCAAGTGCGTGTTTTTTACATAAACACTATAGATACTGCAAAAATTAATAAAATTTGTATTTTTCAGACTTACTCAAAAAGACTTTAAGTGTTCCCAATATTTTCTAAAATGTCATACAATGAATTTATGTTTAAATTTTTTACATTTATATAAAGCTAGGAAAACAAAACTTCATTTGTGATTTTGGATTTCACTCTTGGAAACAGCACAAAAATACATACTAGAATAAGTGCTTTTTATAATTGCTCTGGTCATCTAAAAAAAAGACATAAAAAGACAAGAATCTCAAATACATTCATATTTCAGGGAAGCATGAAACTGAAACAGGACTGTGGGACTAGGAATCACTGACCTTCTGTAGAGACAATGTTTGTGTGACCTATAGAATTTGACTTTAATAATTGATGATTTCTATTACCTCAGGGATTATTAACCACAAGTCCAGTCTTTCTGAAGCAAACATCTAGGAGCAATACAACAAAACATTTAAAGTAATGGAAGATTACAAACTTTTCAATTTATGAGTTTTATATATGCAATTTCCAACGTGGATCAAATAAACAAAATGCACTCAGAATACAATAACAAAAAAGGAAACAGAGACTATAGTTTATGTATGTATTTTAATACTTGAGAAAAATAAGTTAAATTGGATACAAATACTGCCGGCACACAGACAAGCACACACAAAAACAGAATGTACACAAATCCAAACTCGTATAGAGTTGGTATGAAAGTTAGATGTAAGAGTACATCATAACCTTTGTTAGCTCCTCTTAAGGAAGTAACAGATTTTAAGTTAGGCAGACATGAAATGATTGCAGAGGAAATTATTTTCTTCAAACTATTCCTTTATCTATTAAGAACTACAAAATCAGGCAGAAGGTGGTGGCTCAAATCTGCAAACCCAGCACTCAGGAGGCTGAGGCAGGGGGATTGCTACGAGCCCAAGCCTGGACTACAAAGAGTGCCAAGCAAGCCACAGCTATATAAGGAGATCTTGTCTTAGAAAAACAAAACAATAAAAAAAAAATAATGTGGGCGACACTTCAGGGTCACTAATTACTCCAAGCATTCTGAAGGGACGCTCTCCAAACACCTCACTTGATTACTTGAGGGACAATGTAAAAATAATGATTTCATGTTCCTCTTAAGTTTTATATAATTAACACATTCATAAATCATAGCAGACAAAAATAAATTTTTAAAGAAACTACACATTATATCATCCAGGTACTTCAGCATTTTATGCTTAATATTTGTTTTATTAAATATTAAAGATTAAAAAAGACCTTATGTAATGTGACACTATTATTGAGAAGAAATGAGTACAACTGCAATATAATTTTTTAATTGTGGCAGAAATTCATCAGCTCCTTAGAAAATTTCAAAATATATTTAAAGGAATTTGCTTTTTTTAAATTGTGAGGGAAAGAAAGTTTTTTTAGATTTAGTCTATTTTTTGCATATATGAATATTTTATCTGCATGTACACATATGTAGCTATACATGACTGGTACCTGTGGAGGCCAGAAGAGGGCACTAGATACCCTAAAATGTGAGTTCTGGATGGCTGTGAGTCACCATGTGGGTGCTAGAAATCAAACTCAGATCCTGGCAAAAAATAGCAAGTGTTCTTAATTGCTGAGCCATCTCTCCAGCCCCATGGGATCTAATTTCTTATTCACATAAAACATATGTTTGGGAAAGACAAGCTACACAGAAAAAGAAATCCCTCCTATATGACTACAGCTGGAGAAATTCCCTTCTATTGAAAGATAGAGTAATACACTTTATTTTCCAAATTTGGGTTGTACTAATATTAGTAGCATTTTATAGTCAAAAATTTTGGTAAAAAAGAAAACCCAACCAAGTAAGTTAACTATTGGAACATAACCTGACATTTAATAAAAAGCTAAGTTTTTTTTTTTAATATAACAACCTACACACTTTGTATCTTACATTTTAAACCAAGTCTGCATTATGATAGGGAGAGAGATTTAATAGCTTTTAGCATATTAAAATCTTTCTTATTTTACACTAAGTATTTTCACACTAAGATGTGTTTTGATACCCAAATGAGGTTTTAACGATCGGGATTGGGGAGGTAGCTCAGTGAGTGGATAAAGCACTTCTTGTTCAGGATTGTGAACTGGAGTTTGGATCCCTAGCACCTCCACAGAAACGGGTAGGCATGATGGTCTGCCTGTAGTCCAGGCATGCAGGAGGAAGAGACAGGGTCTCTGGGGACAAGCTGGCTGCCTAGACTAGCCAAACTGATGAGCTCCTGCTTGTTTAAGAGACGCTGCCTCATTAAATAGAGTAGTAAATAATGAAGGAAGACACCCGATGCCAACTTCTGGTCTCTCCATGTACATACACATACACGTGTACCTGCAGCCAGCTAAGGTGCTTAGTCACTCATGATTGAACTTCCGGGTAAACCATTTAGCTTTGCTTTAGGAATTGTATTAGAAGGGGCTGGAGATGTGAGATGTCCCAGAATGGACCCTCAGCATCACAAGCAGATACAGGAAGAGAAAGAGGACGGGAAGGAGGTAGAAAATGGAGGGTATTGGAGTTATAATAGAGAAGTCAAAATGCCATTCTTTCCCCCTTGAGACATGTCTACAGTACACAGCTAAGATGACCTTGAATTTTCTGATCCTCCTGCCTCTATTTCCCAAGCACTGGAATTATAAGCATGTACCACTGTATCTGTTTTTTCCTAAAACTTATGACAATTGGTAATACTATATAAAGTAACTTAAAACCCTTAAAACTTCCCAAAGTACATTAATAAACTTTAAATAGTTACAGACCCATACATAATTTATTTACACGTATCCCTGTGGGTGGAAGGAGTTTATGCTGTCATTAATATCATCTGGATGTTCCTGAAGAGAATCTGCCTACAGACAGATGGCATCACACACACACACACACACACACACACACACACACACACACACACACACTGTCTGTCTGCTGGCCACTGGAAAATGAGCACAATCTGGCTTTACTGGAGACTCTGAAACTGATAGTGTGCTAGCAAAAGAAAACACAAGTTGCCTGACAGAATGTATACATAGTATCACTCTAAGGCCCTTTTAATACCATCTTAATTTTATGCATTTGCAAATGCATGTGGTGTGCATGCGTGCATGTGACAGCATGTGCTTAGTGTGCATATGTTCGTTCATGTGTGTGTACAAGTGTGCAGGTACATGTGTATGTGTATGTACATGGATTTAATTTTATGCATGTGGTGTGCATCCATACCATTTAAGTTACTTTATGGTATTACCAATTGTAATAAAAAAGTTCCTTCTGATACGGAAATGTTAAAAAATTAAATAATAAAAATTCCATCTAATCCAGAAATGTCAAACCAAGCAGCAGCAGCCATTGGCCCTTAAGATTGCTGGATCAGAACTTAGGTGCCTTTTATAGCACATGTCAAACCGTTGCTGGAGTTTACTATGTATTCCAGGCAGGCGTTCTGCCTCAGCCTTCAGAGCTAAGATTACAGGCACACCCTAATGCCAAGCAAACCATTGCTTTATGGCTGAACAGAGTAACTAGTGTTAACAGCATCCAAATTGCTATTAGCAGACAATCTCCATAGTTAATACCTATTCAAAGATACAGTATTGTTACAGTTCTAGTAGTGTTGTTGGACTTTTGCATTTCCCTCAAACAGCAGACATTAACAAGATAGTACAGATCAAATCTCACACATTTGCCTATTAATATAAAAGCACATGTGAGTCCTTTCCTCAACCCAGCTCTTTCCCCTGTCTTCATCCCCATCTTGACCTCATGTCTGCAGCTATCCTGACAAACACATAGGAAGACCTTTTGGGATCCTGGTGGGGCTGGTCCCCATCCTGCTCAGCCACACTGGTTTGTTAAAATGACACAAGTATGCTTATTTTTTAAGTTTCTTACTTCCAGTCATAACAAAATAATGGTCATCATCTTCCTTTTTCTTGGCAGTAGGTTTTTTATCTCCACTGACTGTTCCCTTACCAGATGAGGGTGGTTTCCTGATAGAAACTGGTGGCGTGCCACTTTTGGGAGGCCCTTTAGCTGAATACTGGCCCTTCATGGCGGTCTGTGCTAATTTGGAGCCAGTTTCTGTCTTGGCAGCAGATTGAGGGACGCTCACAATGGATAGTGGGGTACGGCCAGGAGACTTGGGAGACCTGGGTCCTGTCTTCTGGCTGGCACCCTTACTCTGTGGTAGCTTTTTGGCAACTGAAACTATATTCTCACCTTTTGCTTCCTTGGTAGCTTTTACAGAGGACACTGAACACACAGGCGCAGGATGGTTTAAATTCTGAAGTCTTTGTGCTGGGACTGCCCTTGATTTCAGAGTTCTGTCAGGTGGCTGAGACTGTGTCCCTAGACCTATGGCTCTGGTTTTGGAAGTGGATTTGGTCACTTTTGCAGGGGATTGGAAAGGAGAAGGGCTAGGTCTTCCATGCATGTTTCCCTTAAGTGGCTTTGGACACTTTGTTGATACATTTATAGGTGACTTGTCCCTGGAAGAAAGATGATTGTGTTTCAAATGCTTTGGTTCAATTTTTCCAGAAGACTTACTTGGCAAAGGTCTAGACTTAGACAGATCTCTGGCACTGTGGGCTGGAACAGCCATGGTCTTAGCAGTCTTGGAGAAGGGGACACATTTTCTCACTGATTCAGATGCACACTGAACAGCACGGGATGAAGCCGATGCAGTGCTGTTGCCCACTGGAGGTAAAGAAGCCAGGGAAGATGACACACCGCTGGGAGGAGTACGTGGCTTTTTTACTCTGTCCTTCAAAGATGTGACCTTTGGATGGGAAAATGCTGCTGGAGAATCCGGGAGTTTAGAACGCGTAGACAGGGAAGCTAGATTGCCTTTCACTGATGATGCCGGAGGCAACACGCCTGGTGGGCGTACCTGTTTTTCCTTGCTCTTTGGAACACTGGCTGGTGTGCCAGGTTTTAAATTTTGTTTCTGAAACATGTTAACTGCAGACAAAGGGTTCATTTCTGGAGGCTGTGGCGTTCTGGCAGGTGAATCTGGCACACTTTCATTTGAAACTCCTTTTTGAAATGCTAAAATCTTTTGTTCTAGTGTAGCAAACTGCAGTATTCGACAGGGGTCATATTTCAGCAAAAATCCTTGCAAAGTATCCCAGCCTCCGCCAACACGGACCATAACGTGTTTTCCATGAAGCATCTGCCCCCCAAACAAAAATAAAACAGTGAAATTGTGAGGTTTATAGTTTCAATCTGTTAACAATCATGATTTCTATTTTCTATGACCTGTGACATTTGGAGTAGTCACCAACAGCTTTGTTTAAAATCAAAAGTCTCCTTTTTGCATTAAAATAATAAGCAGTATTAGGTTGTACAACTAGTAATAAAAGCCCTCCACTTTGCAACAAAAATATTTACAAATAATTTGCACCCTAAAATCCACAGAGTTAATGCAGAAAACTGCAATAGTGATATTGTTCAATGGATTGAGTACTGAAGGAAAGAGCAGGAAAAAAAATGGAGGAAGAAAAAAGCCTCATGAGAGATAAAAGTAATTAGAAAGAAACAACTAAAACTAGTACTTTAAAAGTTATACTCTGTCAATTTCATCTTTAAAACATTTATGTAAATTATTATTAGTTTATTCTTGCAGGTAAGAATGGCTCTGAGCGATTAAGACATTTGTGGCTAGCCTCCATCACACCAGGCTGCCCCTATAGGGGCACCTTTGTGGGGATAAAACAAATCTCAGCTTGGCCAAGGCCGCCCAGGCTGGCTTTCAGGCCGCTGTCCTGAAAAGTTGGTTGATCTGCTTCAGGTTTCTGTGAGCTCAGCTTTCAATGTTAGCTCTAAGTCCCAGTCTCCTTACTCTAGGCCCTAATCAAAGAATCCCCTCTTTCCAGGAACAGTGTCGAATGCAGATTCATGGCTGCACAGAGTGCAGGAAAGAGTTTGGAAGAGGGGTGGAGAGAATGTATGAGCCAGCCGGATGACAGGAAGAATGGCTGAGAATGCTCATCTTCCGGGCAAGACACAGCCATTGCAGCAATGAGTTCCCAGCTGCTGTAGAGTGTACAAGACTAGACCCAACCATCAGGCATGGATGGAGGAGGGGCTTGGGGAACCCCACCCCTCACCACTGACTATTTGCTAAGAAAGAAAAAAGGAAGACTCTACAGTCACTTATTCTCAAATCTCTCTTCAGGTCAGTTTGGGTACTAAGTGTTAACAGTCAAGTCAGCCTCCTTTCTGCTTCTATTTGCTGACAATCAGATTCACAAAGGGGAAATTGCCTTCAATTGCTACCCATTGATGACCCTACCAGGCTCCGGTGAATAGTTTCCAATCCAACAGTTGTGTAGATGGTTCCAATTAAACTAATTAAGTCACAAAAGTAAACCAAAGTCGTAAATACCAGAAAGGGATTGGTAGTGAGGATGAGACTGAGTTGGGGGTGGGGGTGAGAGGACAGAGGTAAGGCAAGGAGGACAATAATCAGAGTACAGTGTATACATGCCTGACATCGCTCAACAACGGAACTAGCAAGTAAAAATCTTAAAGATAATAGGAGACAGAAAATGGGTTTGGGTGTTTCTATATGACTCGGATACAGGGCAGGAGTATGATGATTCTATGTGAAAGAGAGGAAATGTAGACGGTGAAATTCTTTAAGTATTCTTATATTCAGAATATTCAGTTCCTAAATTCAGAGAAAACAGCTCTTGCATTACATCAAGGTAGAAAAATGCTAAATAGGTAAAATTTTAATTTCCTTATCAACAAAAATGATTTTAAAAAAGTCAACTGCAGATGGGACAAAGGAAGGCCATGAACATGGGTGGTATTAAGGTACTGGTGTATGACCTAAGAAAAGAGCTTATGTTTACACCTAAAAGTATTTATCATTATGAATGGTAATATTTCTGTCTGTTTTCTTAATACTAATCTTACTGGAAATTTTTTTTTTCTCATTTCTTCCTAGTGAGTTGATGGAAAATTATTCCATTTCAGAAAATCTGAAAAATGCAGTAAAGTCTCCAAAGTACATGAAGGTATTTTTATTTAGTTATATCCAATGTTTTTAAATAGTCTCAGCTGTCTTCTAGTTAGTTGCTTGAATGTTAAAAGCATCTACTCAAACTCAAAATTCATGAAATCAAGTACACCATATTTTTCCTGTCTAGTGAAATTAATAGTACCCTCTCTCTATTCTGTTTTTTTTTTTTTTAAGTAAAAGGGGGGGTCAAAAGAAGTTTGGTAAATAATAAGCCATATTCCAAGACAAGCTTGTATGAATATAGGCTGCAAACAGCAAACTTACCCTTATAAAGAGTATTTTCTCCCCAAGCCGATACCGTCCTTCAGATAAATATTCAATAGAAAATCGATGAGAACAACTACAAGGAGGATCCTCAGCAATATGTTTAACCTAAAATTAAAAATAATTATCAATATTCAGTGCTTATTAGAAAAAAATAGCCTATTAAAAGTTAAAGAGCAATGTTATTGGACAGGAAAATAAATCTCAATGACAAAACTTCAAAGCTAGTTCAAGTATTTATAATATCTGGTCTTCTTTCCTTGCTAACAGATTTTGAAATCAGACAGTTAAATTAGCAACAGCCAGCAGTGGTGAGGGCCAGGTCTCCCTGTCTCTTAGATCAAGTGAAATTATAAACTGAAATTATAAGCACTGAAGGAGGTCTGACAATAGAATCAACTCAAAACACATTTGCTGACTTTAGAAAACATGAGCTCATCATTAAGCCTGAATTGTTTTAAGCCCAGAATAATTACATTTGTGTCAAATCAAAGACCATCCAGTCAGATACAGGCTAAGTAAGAATTCTCAATTTTCCCTTAAGACAATGCTAATCTGATAAACTAATGGAGAGGGACATATACATTTGTTCCAAGTTACTGCTAAAATAAGTCCAGACCAATGTCTACATGCTATTGATGGGGTAAAAGTCTTAATAGTTCAATTCAGGAAGCATTTTTCTACAAGTATTTGCTACATTTTAAACATCTCACGAGGAAAGGAATGGGAAAAAAAAAAAAAACCCTTCTATCCCTCAAAATGCTGTCTTATTAAGAATTTCAAACATGTATAAATTCCCCCATTTCAACTCCTCTCAAACACTTTCATGTCCCCCTTCCAACTGCATTCCTTCTTCTCTTTTCTTCTCTTTGATAATCCACTGAGTAGAATTAGTGGGGCTATATACAATGTGGGTGCAGGGTTATCCATTGGATCATGAACAGCCTACAAGGGCCACCCACATACCTGAAGAAATCCTACTCTCCCTTCCCCAATAGGGATCAAATGCCACTTGCTTCTCAGTAGGGTTGGGACCTTGAGATCCCAACCCATCCATGCTGGAATGTGGACTGGCTTGATCTTGTTGTACAGGTCTTATGCAGGCAACAGTACTACTATGAGTTCAAGAGTACTCCTCCATGACCTCTGGATCTTACAGTCTTTGGACCTTCCTTTCCTAAATATACCCTAAAACTTGAGAAAGGCCTCAAGAAAATGGTAAAATTACAGTACCTAGGAAAAGAAATTCAGTAATTATATTTTAAACAAGGAAAATAAGTTTATTAAATGATATATTTTGAAATACATTTTAAGTGAAAACATTACATATCAGCCACTAAGAAAAATATTGGGCTTTCTTCTCAAATTACATTAAAAAAAAAGGGGGGGTCATGTCTGGCATACTGGTGCATACCTTTAATCCCAGCACTCAGGAGAGAAAGGGGCCAGGGATCTCTATTAGTTTGAGGCAAGCCTTGTCTACATACTGAGTCCCAGGCCAGCCATGGTAGTATAATGAGACCCCATCTCAAAACAAAACAATAAAAAAGTCATAACTATTTTTCACAATTACTTATCATACAAAACATATCAAAATATATTCATTTAATGGAACTTATGCCTAATGTTTTAAGCAGTCTCTTCAGATAAGCCCAATTTATCTGCGCACTAAGAGGAATTTATGATTGTCTTAATTATCTACCAAAAGTAAATTAACAATTATGGATTCATAGAGCCTGATAAGAACATAATATTGATAGAATCAATTTCATGTTGTTCATTTAACAAGAAAATGTGCTTGTAGACAACTGGGATTGATCTCTCTGAGTCACTCCACAAGGTTTCTCTTGTTCACTGACTGGGTGCATATGAACATGAGTGTCCACACTGACATATGCCACAGAAGCTGAAATCAGGTAAAGCTGCCAGTTACTAGAACATGTTATTCATTAGTTAATGTATGGGAGGAATTTCATTTAGCTATTACTTTCTGTAAAATTTTCTTAAGTTTATAAAATCTCATTTGCATATTTAGCAGGCTCAGACATAATGAACAAATAGTAATTGTCCTATATGCTAAGTATTAATCCAGGACATGTGTACATCATGTCCATGTATAGGTGAGCACTGAATGTATTAATACAGCATGCACATGTTTAAAGCAGTCAGGACGTGTGCATCATGTCCATGTACAGGTGAACATTGAATGCATAGCATGTACATGTCTAAAGAAGTATGCTTGCTTTTAGCTTTCACAGTAAGAATCCAGATCTTATTCTCAGAGCTACTTATTTTCCCTGATTAGAATATCCAGAGAAGTGCTTATATTTAGCAATATGAAGTTGTTAGTGCTAGCAGCCATCACTAGCACAGTCTACACAAGGTATGGATGACAATTTTTTCTGTATCTATTTATTACATAATTAATAACACTGGAGGAAACAGCTAAAGAAAATAATCTACATCAAAACTGCCTTATTTTCATTCTATTCTCCTCACTCCCATATTTTTGTCCATATATACATTTTTCATAAAATCAGCATTTTCTCCCTGCTACCTAACTGTCATGGTGGCCACATAAAACAAGCATTCTGTCACAATACTGAATTCTAAATTATAAAGCCTTTCCCCTATTGGAGGGTTTGTGCATTACTTAAAATTTTCCACCATTATAAATAATAATAATACAATAAACATTTTTTGGGTTTTTTTGCTGAACTCATTTTAGTAAAGGAATATGCTTGTAATTCTTAATATTTATTTTTTAAAATTATACATTAGTTTTCATTAAAAGCAATTCCTAAGTATAGTTTCACAACATTTTTTACAGCTTTCAATTTTCCAACTTTTTTGTTTGGTTGATGTTTTGTTTTGTTTTGTTTTTTTTTTTGTTTTTTTTTTTTTTTTTTCCCCCCCCCCCCCCCCCCCCCCGGGACAGGGTTTCTCTGTGGCTTTGGAGCCTATCCTGGCACTAGCTCTGTAGACCAGCCTTGGCCTTGAACTCACAGAGATCCGCCTGCTTCTGCCTCCCGAGTGCTGGGACTAAAGGCGTGCGCTACCAACGCCCAGCTCCATCCAATTTTCCTGCTTTTAAAACTTTTGCTACTGGAACAAAATGGTATTTTGTGGCTATCTTGTCACCTTATTCCCTTCATTAGCAAATGTCAACACTACTTATGCTATGAACACAGTACTTGCACATTTATCAATGACAGTGTTTTTCTTACCAAATGTACTGTCTTCATATAGTAAATTATATACTAATTTTTTATTTAACAATATATACTTCTTTCACTTTCCTTTGTTAATTATTCTTTAAGGTTTCATGAAAATTTAAATAATTTTTATCTACTATATTATTTCTGCTTCCCATTCTGATGGTTATAATCACCAAATGTATCAATAAGATAATAAAATTAATTGTTTGGTCTAATAAAACCTTTTTCTGATTGACATATTCTTAGTATGTCTTGAAAGGCAATCTGAATATTTAATCTATTATTTTGTTTTGTGTGTAGGTATGTATGTGTCTGTGGTATACATGTAAGTGCATGCTTTGTGTATATGTCTGTATACATGTCAATGCAAATGCATGCATGACCTCATGTATATGGAGGCAAGAAGTCTACATCAAGTGCGTCTCCAACTTCATTCCCATTATTATCATCATCATCATCATCATCATCATCATCATCACCATCTTCATCACCATCATCGGGTTTTCGAGACAGTATTTCTCTGTTGCTTTGGAGCCTGTCCTGGAACTCACTCTGTAGACCAGTCTGGCCTTGAACTCACAGAGATCCACCTGCTTCTGCCTCCTGAATACTTGTATTAAAGGCGTGTGCCACCACCGCCAGGCTCTAGAAGATTTTTAAACACTGGTTTCTCATTGAGCCCAGAACTCACCAAATTGGCTAGATTAGTGAACCAGTGAGCTCTGGTGAACTGTGTGTCTCTGCTCCAGTCCCACACTAGGGTTACAAGCAAATACCACCACCAAAAGCACACAGGTATTTACAGTATGATTCATAGCAGTAGCAAAATTATAGTTATGAGGTAACAACAAAAATAAATCCACGGTTGGGGGTCATTATCGAGGTTGAGAACCACTGCTCTAGAGCCTAAAGGAAAACAATTTTAGTAATTTCTACAGAAGGACAAGAATTGTTGAGAGCACCATCAGGACATGGCCTGTCACATTAAAAAGTCTGCATATTGTGTTAGGGGCAATGTTCAGAAAAACCCCATCCATTTTCCCCTTGTAAACTTTCTTCTACCTGTATCCTCCTAATACCTGTGTACCGTCTGCTTAACCTTGCCAACTGCCATGGACCTCTCTCACTCGCAATCACTAATTCAGTCCTGTCAATTCTGCTTCCTAAGCATGGCTTATATTTGTTCCTTTTGCTCCATTGCTCACTATTGTGTTCAAATGAAAACTCGTCATCTCATGCTTAGGTTATTAACATAAAACAAACTCAATACATGACCAAAATTGTAATCCCTTATCATTTACAATTCAAATTATGATGTTATCATATTTAAAAAACAACAAAAAAATTAACTTCTCACGCAGCCTTGAACCGCCACTCATCAAGTTCTTCATACACTCCCAGAACTCATCAGGGAGCACAGATTAGTAACTGGCACACATTCTGAATATAAACCTGGCAATTTAGAAATACACAAAACTGTGAAATGTCAGGCTGTACAGTCCACAAAGCACAGCAATTACTTACAGCTTCGTGTAGTTCTTCATGCTGACAGCAAGATTTGGGGATGTTGATGGACTCTTCAAGCCCTGAGGCATTAAGCAGGGTCTCTTCTAACTCAATTTCTTTCTCAAGTTTCACTAATACTGGTGGCTCAACTCCGTATCTAAAAACAAGCCAGGAAATGTGACCACACAATGTGTACCAACTTCATCTCTGCAGACCAAAATAGGCAACCTTTTACTTCTTGAGCCAAGTCTATATGACTCTTCCCTACAGAGTGTTTCACTGGGACAGCTGGAAGTCCATCCCCTCTTTTTTTCCCTTTTTCTTTTCTTTTCTTTCTTTTTTTTTTGGGGGGGGTTGCGACAGGGTGTCTCTGTGTAGCTTTGGAACCTCGCTCTGGAGACCAAGCTGGCCTAGAACTCACAGCGACCCTCCTGCCTCTGCCTCCCGAGTGCTGGGATTAAAGGCATGCGCCACCAATGCCCGGCTCCCTTTTTCTTTTTCTTTTTCTTTCTTTTTTTTTTTTTTTTCTTTCTTTGAGACAAGGTTTCTCTGTATAGCCCTGGCTCTCCTGGAACTCACTCTATAGATTAGGCTGGCCTTGAATTCAAGAGATCCACCTGCCTCTGCCTCTGCCTCTGAGTATGCTACCACCACCAAGCTGGAAGTCCTTTTTAATATTTCAGATTGCCCCAAATCCAGACTATAATTTCTATATCATAGCAGATATCTGGGTTATGTAATATTTTCAATCTTTTTTTTTTTTTTTGGAGTCTGAAAGGCAGCTTTAAAACAAGCTGGTGGGTGGACAGTGCTGACACAAACATGGGAACGCAGAGCCTCAGCCTTCTTACCAAATGGTACTTGATTTGCTTTGAACTGCTTGAAATTAAATATTTTTACCCTATTCTTAATTTGAAAGATTTAAGTAGTACTTTCACAATTTCATATGAAATGAAGGCAAAGTAAAAGAAGACACAGAAAGATAAAACAGAAAATTGGGTTACTTCATTTCAATCAAGAGTCATATTCTTTGGGTATAGAAACTATGATAAAATTAAGTTGCTTAAAGGTATTTTTGATGTTGAAATTCTGAAATATTGAGAAATACGTACCTTGACACAATTCGACCAATCTCAAGAAGACAAAGGTACACCTGTCTAGGGTCTTTATGTAAAACTAGGGGAAAAAAAAAACATATGTGTTAAGAATCTGATTTAATTTGGGAAATGCATTCTGGCATAGGAGAGAGTAAAAGGAAAGAATAATGATGACAGTAGGCTTACTTGTTTAGACAAGACATTTTTATTGTTACTACACAGCAATTTCTTCTGCATTAAAAAATAAACTAGTGAGCACAAAGAGAATGGACAGCAGCCAAAGATACTTACTTGTTTAGCATCTCAGACTTTAGGGGCTATGGACTTAGTAGCACTAAATTATGTGGAGATGGCTCAATCATAAACTTCTTACTGCACTAACATCGGGGTACGAGTTCAGATATCCAGAACCCACACAAGAGCCAGATATGGTGGCACACGCCTGTAACCACCGTGCTGGGATAGACAGAGACAGAGCATCTCTGCAGCTCAGTGGCCAGCCAACCTAGATCAATCAATGAGCTCCACTAGGGTTAGCAGGGAACCCTGCCTCGAAAATAAGGTAGAGAACTTGGAAGATGCTTGATGATGATGTCTGCCCAACCCCCAGGACAGAATAGTATAGATCTCTCAACAGGAGACACTGTTGGAAGAGTCATGTCACTTCAGTTTTACTCTAAACTGTCTTTCTCAAACTTTACAAGGACAGGAAGCAACAATTCCTAACTTACTCTATGAAGCACTGTTATCTTCAAAACAAAGCCAGAAGCCAGAAGCCAAAGGAAATTATCACAAGAAAACTAAAACCATTATCTCACAGCCATGAGTGTAACGATCTTTGACACACTGGTGACAAAACCCAGCAGCAAACAGAAAGTCTTATGTGCAATAAGACAGTGAGATTTATGCCAGGAATGCAAACAGTTCAATATATGAAAACCAACTGATGTAATTAATAGAAATAGGGTCCTATCACGACAAAAACAGGGGACAACACACAGATCAAAGAATTAGAAAGAATCTAACACCATTTCAATAAGTCAAACAAAAAACAAAGAAAGACCAGAAGGGAACTTTCTCATTCTGAGACAGGGCAACCATGAAAAACCTACAGCTAGTAACATTCTAACATCGTTTACGCATAAGGTAAATGGAGAAAAATCTTCCTCCAAGGCAAGGTTAAAGGTAACAGTATCACTCTCATCAGTTCTACTCAACTGCTTGTGGCCTCAAGACAATAAAAGGTAAACAGGTAAAAATCTGCATTGCTTTTGTTAGGCGATAATATTTAGATATGACAAAGCATGAGAGAGAGAGAGAGAGAGAGAGAGAGAGAGAGAGAGAGAGAGAGAGAATCGACAAACTTGAAATGTTTAAGTTTGAGGCTGGAGAGCTGAGATGGCTTAGCTGTTAAGAGCACTGACTTCTTCCAGAGAACCCCCGGCTTATTTCTCAGCACCCCGTAATTCCAGGCCTTCACTGAACTTGTGACCCTGTGGTGTATACTCACCCCGTTGCCTTGCTAAACTCCTGAACCTGTGATATATGATTGCCCTCTCACCTAATGAAACGTGTCTAACCGTTTCATCATACCTTGATGATCCCCCTCACATGAGGTGTTCTTACTCTTATCTACCCCACAGCAGCCTTGAGCCCCAGTCCCCACTCTTCTGACCAGGTGCCAATAGCCAATTCTCTCGACAGCTGTTTTCTATCAACACTAACCCTTCCTCATAAAAGGAAACTCAAAAGTCAGTGAGGGGCTGCTCTCTGAAATCCCGACATTGAGAGAGGCAGCTGTCTGCTCAGTCTAAATAAAGCTTGCTTAGTCAGACAATTGTGGAAATGGTTTTCCCTCGAGTTTATCAAGAAGTCCTAAGGAATTCTGGAATCCTAACCTTAAGTGCAATGTGTTCTGATCGTATGCATTGATTCCACCAATAGAAAAGGCAGCTGTTCTTTGAGGTGGGAATAACATCTACTGCACACACAAAACAAATAATCTGTTCACTTGACACATGGTTCAGGCTGAGATTACAGGTGTGCACCCACATGCCTGACTATAAAGCATTACCTTTTAAAGAAACAAAAAGGGCCTCTATTTGAGTTTAAATTCACAGAAATAAGGGAATTTATCATGAAATATTTCAAACCTGTTTTTATAAATATCCTAAGTACCTTAAAATAGTATATTTATTTTTTAAAATTACATTTGAGTTCCAAGCAAATGAAAATATATACATACACACATATTAATATATACAACATATTATATATTATATTATTTATACACACACATATAGATATATATCACTTCAATGCCTACAAATGAGTTACTGGTATTGACAGTATTTTTCGTAGTCCTCCACTGCCCTTCAGCACTGCTAGAAGATGTATTTTAAATTTAAAAAAAAACAAATGACAATCTCAGACCTTTTCAAAAGTAGTAAGCTACAAAGGAAAGAATTCTAAGCATTTCCTCCCCCTTATGATCCAGTAGCTGAATGTGCCATTTAATTAGCATCATTGTCAGCAAAAGCAGCACACCTGGGTTTGCAGCACAGACTGTCTCCAGGGCAAACCACTGCATTCCATTCTGTACTGGGCAGGGGTAGCCAGAGCACACCTTGGGCTGCAGATTATGCAGGAGCAGACCACACTTCACACTGCTGGTCAAGAATTTTAAAACTAACAAATTCAGGTAAAAGTTGGCTTGCTTTTAATCAGCACCATCCATGAGTGACTGTAAACAGTATCAGGGATAAAATTTCTGTCTAGGAATACGGTGTCCCCTTCAAAATGTAGTGCTCTCATCACGGCATGAGTATTTGTATACATGCATGTGTATACATATACACCCCTATAAATGCCTTGAAATGTGCGTGTAAAACAGCCAGCCAGTTGCTCCATTAGTGCCATATACATACTTCTGTTGACTTAAGAAAATGAGAAAAATACATCAACAATTTTTCAAGGGAGCATAATTTTATTTTGGGATGGGAGGTGTTTCAAGGCAAGGCTTCTCTGTGTAGCCCTGGTTGTGGGACCTCACTCTACAAACCAGCCTGGCCTTGACCCTCTGCCTTCTGAGCACTGGGATTAAAGGCATGTGCCACCACCACCCAGGAGATGACTTCTTTAAAGAAATATCAAAAAAAATTATTCTTTTTAGATAATAAAGATGGCAGCTATTGCTTACAATTAAATCCCAATAGTATAAGCATATTTCACCTGTTATTTCTATAATGAGCTGGCTAAAGAGAAATTGCTAGTAATTTAGACCTAGTAGACATCTTCAGGAAAGTATTAGCGGAACATTAATTAGTGTACAATCTTCTGGCCACCAACTCAGAGAATTCTAGTTATCTAAAGCCTATTAACACAAGTGAAAATCTTACTATATTTGACTAATATCTGATTCTCCAACTGTTTCACATCTAACTGAAGTAAAAATTTTGTATGTAATAGTGATATGCATTTTGAGTTAATATTTAGAAAGGAAATTTAGAAACGAGGGCCACAAAACCATCCCAATAAACACGAAAAACTCTGACAGCAACAATACTTACCTAAACCTTCAGACTCAAAGAGGTAAGTTTCATCAACCCCAATGTGCCGACACCAGTGAAGAAAGTTTGCAGTGTTGTCTCTGGCAAAGAATGAACCTGACGCAGCGTCTTTCTTACAAGGCACTTTTCTCATTGGAAAATTCTAGAAAAGACATAAGGACAATTTGCCAAAAAAAGAATCAATGGTATTTTCATTTGGCGTTGATTTTAATATGAAGAAGAAACTGTTAAATGTATTAAGTATAAATTCAGACTACACAGTTTGGAGGGAAAACAATTATTTTCAGAAATGACTTTTTTCTTCTACTTTAAGTATCTTCCAGAAAAAGATGTTTAGGAAAATGATCTACTCAAAATTAGCAGTAGATTCAAGCTTCTCCAATCTTCTTTTTAAAGTAGCACAAAAAATGCAAAATGTAAATGATGGCCTTGTAATTACGGCGCATCTACAGTGTGTCTCTCCACACAATTCAACTCAAATACAAAACTATGCTATGCTGTAGATGAACAAATATTCATTTTTGCTTTCTTCTCACACAGACTCATAAAAGCTGCCTGAGTTTCTTAAAAGAGACTATAAAATATGGGAGTAGTTGCCCATCCTTAATTCAGGATCTTTGATGGCCTAAGTTTCACAAAACCCTAGGTTAGTACTTTTGTATTCTTAATTATCTAGCCCCAGAGTATTCTGCTATTCCTGCTGAGGCTGGGGAAGGGATAGGGGTGGTCTTTTGCTTTTACTTTTTACTTGGCAATTCATAGGAGTGATGTTTTTAATGCAATGGGTACAGTAGTAGGTTTTTCACCATCATTGTCAGTTTCTCTCCCTAGAGACAACCGCTATTACCAAATCTATGCATCTCCTTCTGGATGCTATTATTTTCCAGAACTGAAATAGCTTGCATGCACGGTTAAATACAGAATATATCATCATTATCAAAAATATACAAATAAGTATAGCAAAACACAAAAATGATTAATATCAAATGAATTTCTCTCACTGACTTTTTGATAAAATATCTCTCTGTAAATCTATGCATATGTACCTAGAAAACACCACACAGATATGAGTCTACATTTTGATGTGTGTGTGTGTGTGCATTTCAAATGTATGTACACTGGATAGGTTGTGGGCATATTTAAGACTTAAAAAGAACATATTTAAATAATTATTTCTAATAAATACACAATATTCCAATGTTTGGGTAACAATGTTACAATTTTTCTATTGATAAGCAGATTATATTATTTCTATCTGTGATTTTCTTAGAATGATTTCCTAAAAGTAGAGAATTTTATATATCAAAGGATGTATTTTGTTTCCAGTATTAAATATATGGATATGTATGTGTGTATGTATGCATCTACATGTAAACAGATATATCACTCATTGTCCTCCAAGAATAATGATACCATTTTATGTTTAATAGTATGTCTAGGCTCCAAACTCTCCAAAACACTTAATGTTTTATAAAAAGAAAGAAAACCTAATCTACTTCAAATCATTACTTTAAACTTATCTTTGAAAAATGCTACATATTCCACCAATATTTATAAATGTATTGCTAAGGCAGCAGATGAAGACTACAAAGATGACAATGGCAATGACAACAACAAACGGGGTGACTCATTTGCCAGTGCCTTAGTTAGGGTCATTATTGCTGAGATGGAACAGTATGACCAAAAGCAAGTTGGGGAAGAGAGTGTGTATTTGGATTACACTCCCATATGATGTCATTAATCATCAAAGAAAGTCAGAACAGCATGGCAGGAACCAGGAGGTAGGAGCTGATTCAGAGGCCATGGACAAGTGCTGCTCACTGGTTTGTTGATCATGACTTGTTGAAACTGCTTTCTTATGGAACCATCAGACCAGGGAAGACACCCCCATCAATCCCTAATTAAGAATATGCCTTACAGCAGGGTCTTATGGAAGCATTTTTAAATTGAATTTCCCTCTTTTCAGGTAACTCTAGCTTGTGTCAATTGATATAAAACTAGGTAGCACAGCCACAAACTCTTTTCTCCCATAACCTGTGGAAGGTATTGTCACTGTGTGTGGGATCTAGCTGCTGGGGATCACCTATAGTATATCAGGCACTATCCCAGACACCATCTATAGGCTTAATATCAGTGAACACTCACAAGTGAGTACCACAAAGAAAATAATTGTTATTGTTTCTGGTGTGTATGTTTGTATACCCATGTATATGTGTGTGTATGCTCATGGAGATTTGTTTCTTAAGACAGGGTCTCTCAGTGAACCTGAAACTCAGCAGCTAGCTGGACTAGTGAGCCAGTGAGCCTTTGGGATCTGCCCGCCTTCATCTGCCAGCACTGGAATTATGGGTGCACATGCCACAGCCACCTTTTACGTGGGTTCTGGAGAGCAGAACTCAGGTCCTGATGTTACATGGCAAGCTCTTTACCAACCAAGCTACTTTCCAAGCCTCAAGGTGAATGTTACTAACTTTATTTTACACATATGGTTTTTCAAATGCACAGAAAGTTAAACCAGTTTTCAAAGTCTCATAGCCAGTTACATGATGTAAATACACACCCACATAGAGGTAATAAGAAGCAGGCATGCCTATCCTTTTCTAAATAGACACAGGGGAGGAGTGGATGGGGTGGGGAAGCAGAGGTGGTGGAGGAGAGGGGCTGAGAGAAGAGGAGGGAGGGGAAACTGTGGTCAGGATGTAAAATTAATAAATAAGTAGACATGAACAATTGACTTAATCGCTCGCTGTCAATATTTCCTTACCTCTGGTTCTTCCGAGTGGCACTCCTTTACCATATTTTGAAGAACATCAATTAATTGACACAACAGCACTCCATTATCAAGCTCTTCCAATAATCTTTCTGCCTTGATGTCAATACCTAAAAACATATTTTAAGGCTGAGACTCATCTAGAAGCAGCAGATTCAGAAGCAGTGGCTACAACTTAAATACAATCAGCTGGAAAACTAAACAAATACCTGATGAGACTAAGTTTCTACCCTTGAAAGGTCTACTAAAACAAATAATATAAGTTAAATCAAACACAAAGGGAAAAAAATCTGTGATGTATAAAGTTCAGGAAAAAACACATGTACATTTATGTTAGATAAATTCACCGCACAAGGGGGAAAAAGTTCCTTATAAATAAGATGGACTTTGCTGCAACTTAAAGATTAAATGCAACACTAGTATAACTAGTCTGGGAATATCAACTTCTGCCTCTAAAATAACTTCTCTAAAAGCATAATTAGATTACAAACTTGAAAATCTTTTCAATCATCAAGCTGATACCAGACAAAGAATGACTGCTTAGTATGTGTTTATCTTCCAAGGGCCTCCTTCCCATGAAAGTACATGAACATCTATAGTTAAGTGACTGAGGAACAGAGGCCTCACTCAGTAAAGTATGAGGTCCTGAGCCTGGGTCCCAAGAACCTACATAAAAGTGAGGTGAATTGGTGCACCTGTGGTGGAGTTAGGCAGATCCCTGGAGCATGTGACCAGCTAAGCTAGCATGCATGTGGTCACACACACGCGCCCGCAAACACACACACACACACACACACACACATACACACACACACACACACGTGTGCACATGTGCACAAACACAAAAACCCCGATACTCATACCCACACACATGCATACACATATGTGCACACATGACACATAAAACAAAAAGTGACCCCCTGGCCCAGAAAGAAGCTCAGAGCACTCATCATAATCTTGAGTAAATGCAATATAAAAAAAAAAAAATGCAATGCCAGGAATTCTGACATTTTCTTTTTGATTTCCTTTGCTTCTACTCCTCAATGTTTTGAAACAATATTCATTGTTCTATAACTAAAGTATATCTTCCATTTATAACCCTATAGTTCATATAATTTGGGGAAAATCAGTAAAAAAATCAGTAGTAGACACACACAATTTTTGAAATATATTAAAATTAACCATAAAGTATTGATTATTCAAAAAGGCTGGCAGCTTCAATCAAATCTCAAGTTTCATGCAACTCAAGTTTGAGGACGAAAGTATTATTTTAACTACACAGACTATGAAAACAAGTCATTCACTAGCACAGCCCCAACATCTGGAACAATCAGTAATGTCTTAAATGAAGATTAAAAAAAAAAATCAGTGTCTTTGTATGCCTTACCTAGTAAGCCTGATAACCAAATAGAGAGGTCTTCTTGCATAGGCAGGAGAGTGGCTTCATGCCTCACAGCTATCCACTCGTCATACTGACAGACATCAGCCAGTCCTGGTCCATGTCTGGCAGTCAGGGGACACCTGGGACTTAGAGGTAGGTCCTCCCCAAACCATACCTAGACAAAACACCAAACAACTGAAAGATAGCAATCTTCACTAAAAGTCACCATAAACCATAATGGCATAGGCCATGAAGAATAAGCAAAACTGTACCATCTCATAGAAATCTAGATTATTTGGACTATTTTCAACAGTTAATTCAGTTGCCAATGTCAACCAACACTAAATTAGTGAATGGATTTTACTGTAGAGTCAAGAGGAAAACAATTCAACAAATAGTACTTTTTTCTTCTCCAGTTGTTAAAGCAGAATCCCCACACGATAGCTATAAAATGCTTAATGACAGGGACCTCACAAGATACATGTCTGTAGCACCTAGCACTGGCCCTGGCAGACAGCAGATTAAACAATCGTCTGGTGAATGGATAAGTGGATGAATGCATAAATGGCATCTGTAAACTGCAAACAGTAATTGTGATGTTTTAAATATTTGATTATTTGTGTGTGTGTGTGTGTGTGTGTGTGTGTGTGTGTGTGTGTGTGAGTGAGTGCATTAATATAGGTTCCCATGGAAGCCAGGAGAGGATGTCAGATCTTTGGAGCTGGAGTTACAGGCAGTTGTGAGCCTCCTGATATGGGTTCTAGGACCAAACTCAAGTCCTCTGCAAGGCACATGTGCTCTTCACCATCACTCCATCCCCTACAATGCTGTCTTTAATTTTTTCTCTAAATACTTTGATTAAAGCAATAACATGGCAAACTACAATCTAAGCAAATCTGTTTATCATCTGTATTTTTTATGACCTACAACTAAAACATTTTTAAATGGTTACTATACAAGTATCTACATATCCATCTAATAGTCTCAGTTCTGCCTACTGTCCTGCAAAACCTAAAACAGTAAGAATAAAATTACATAAACTATCAAATCAACACTTGGAAATATTTGAAATATAACAGATTTGCTTTCAGGTTGTTTATAAAAATTGTGCAAATTATGAAAGAAACAATCATGAAGTCACTTTTAAAAAAGAGTACAAACGATTCTTGTCGGGGGTGGGGGTAATAGAGCCCAAGTGAGGTGAGCAGGAAGTTATTCAAGGGAGGCAACTTGGAATGTAGCCAGCAGGAGCCTGAGTGATGCCTAAGGGCTACCCTATGTGAGGTGTCTGAATCAGATACGACGGGCCCCACCGAAACAAAGCAGGACAGCCCATTAGCAAGCTTCAGAGCCAAGTGAGCTGTGTGTCTCCACCAGGGAGAGGGTGGCAGTAAGAGCTCGCCCACACAGAAAGAGTTACTGAATGGGAGGCAGTCTCCCACTGCTAGAGGAAGGAACAAATATGGAGTGGAAGGGAAAATGAACCCTATGCTCTTAGGACAGAAAGCCAAGCAGCACTAAAAATCATGAAGTCTGATTTTTGTTGTCCATCTACTACTGATTGACTGGGCAGTCTGCCTTGGAGTATCATTTATACATCCATGTCACTCTATTGAAGAAAGTGATTTTCCTTCCCCCAGCAGATAACAACTGCAGATAGCTTCTGGCTATGGGTGGCGCTCGATGAGCACTTCCCCATCTCTTTGCTGGGATTTTTTTCTGGCTAGAACTTGTGCAAACAAACTATAAAGGGAAAAAAATAAAGACCCATTTCCAATCTCCTCTGGTGAGACACAAACATACGTTAGAGAAAGAATTACCACAGAAACAAACCCCTGAAGGGCTACTAGGCAATATGTGTCCTAACAGGTTTTCTGCATGTGCTACCTCACTGATTCAAAACTACCATGCAGAATGTGAACTGTTATCCTCACCTTACCTTCCAGGTGATGAAGCAGGGATTTAAGAGGCAAGATGGATTCACTAGTCTGTTAGAGTGATAAACGTGGGATCGGAACTAAGCTGCCACTGACTCTTAAGTTCTGACTTTCCAATATATTTTATTACCAGCTGACTGTATCTTTCTAGGTAGAAAGGTACACTGTGACTTCTGCCTTCAAATTAACATTTCATTATTCTATTAATATCCAAAGAAAGAAAATAAAAGAAAAGCAAAAAATATAGCAAACACAAACTTTGGAAATCATTTAAATTTAAGACTATCATGGTTTCTGTGACTAACCTCAGCTGGCTTCACCAGTCAAAACCAAACCAAACAAACAAACAAACAAAAAAACCTCTACTCATTAAAAATTGTAATTTTAACACATAGTCAGGTCACTTATAAAGCATATGTACAATTATCTAAACTAAGATTTGTATCTCTGATTTGATTTTTACTGACTGTTTCTTCAACTATATCGTGTATCATGCTGTAATGAGGGGGACACTATAAAACATTCTACTTATTTTCCCCAGGTTGACCCAGCAGCTCCAAAACACTTTTGATTCTTTCAGATATCTAACACAAGTAAAATGCAGAATTAAAATCTTAGGACTAGAAAGTCAAAATGCAGTATTCCTATTGTTAAAGTGCAGTGTTAAAAAACTTAATGATATCAATTCATAATTTATATTTCTCTTTTACAAAAAGAAAACTTACCTGAATTGCAGGCTGCATGGTCATCTATACTGAGATGAAACTAATATTCTGGAGAGAGAAGAAGGCATCAATTAGAATTCAGAATATGCTTTACTCCCTCTTTGACTCAACACCTGAGACATTCTCAGCTAGCTAGAAAACTCTATGAGGAACTCATCACTTCAAATGAGAGAAACCTGCAACACTGTGATACACTGTCCTTGGCAATAGTGTCAAAGCAAGTGTGCCAAACTAGTGTCACAGCAGTGAGGTAGAGATCATGACAAACCTGCTTCACAGAACAGTCTCCAACAATCTTTTCCTATACAACAATGGAAAAGTGATGTCAACATAACTCCTCAAAACCAACACTGAAACTCAAGCATCTTTTATCTCTCTGTGGTGATCATATCTTTACGAATCACATGTACTTATAAATCACATGCTTAGCCATATGCTTTTTCTGCTAAATAACAAGATAGCAAAGTTAACTATCAGTTTCAACTGTGAATTAAAAATACTCAATACCTTCCTGTGATAATTTGTCAAAAACAAAAAGGAACAGCAGTGTTGGCTTCAAAGCTCTGTTCTTAAAATCTACAAAGGAAAGATAAACGATAATAAATTAAATTAGATCAATACATTAGTGTGCTTTCAGTGAGTGAAAGGCTCAAAGACAATAATATAGATTATATAAAAGCTAGCTCTGTTGCTTGTTTTAGCCGCATAACACACTCTATTTTCATTAGAAACTACCACTAAAAGATTTTAAGAGAAAATTATAAAACTATTTATAGAACTAAAATGTTACCTGTTTCCAAAGTCATGCCCTCCCCTGAGCTGTCTCCCATACATCCATGCCAAGTGCCAACTATACACATCTCATTCTCAAAGGAACAAGTAGAACCTGGACTAAAGCTAACTGAAGAGCTTAACACTATATCACATTTTCTCTGCAGAAGGCAAAAGAGCACAGAATACCCTTTCTGATCTCAGTTTTCCCCTTCTCCGCCACAGAAAAAGGCCAAAGCACAAGCCAGCATTCCCGATGAGCTTGTTATGCTTCCCACCAGCTATTCAGGGGGGAATACATTTTCCTTTAGCATAAATAACCCTTTGTCCCCAACAAAGGTCCACAGTATGAAGCTTCCGAGACCAGTTCTTAAAAATGCAACAAAGAAGCTGCTCCCATTAAAATGAAGTTCCACATAATCAGACAAGAGCTCTAACAGTTGGAGCTGCCGACCACCAACAAAAGAAAGCTGCAATTACAAGGCGTGTGCACACCCAGAACAGAGGCACATTCACAAAAGAGCCATCACAAGAATGCTCAGCAGCTGCATATTTTACAGAAAACTCAACAAAATTAGTTTTATGAAAAAAATGAAGAATTTGTGTACAGCAGTCACTTGAACTTTAGCAAAAGTCCTATGTCTTCAAATTCTTGTACAACAGACAGCACTCCTGAAATAGCAGAAACATAACCACCTGCATTACCTTTAAAATGTTTCTTTAGAGCTAGGGATAGCTCACCTGCAGAATGCTTGTCTAGCATGGGCAAAGCCTTGGGCTCAACCCATGGCACAGCAATAAATAAATTAACTGTTTTGTAATAAAATAATACTCCAATAAGTTGTAACAGATCCTCAGCTATGAAAGGCTATTATGTACACTACTTATTTAGGCGAAAATCTTTGTAAACTTTCCAGACAGTTAATCAGGTACTTAATGAGTACTTCATGCTATGTTCCAGATACAGAGAGCTAGTGTGTGTGTGTGTGTGTGTGTGTGTGTGTGTGTGCATATGTATGTATGTGTATGTATGTATATGCTCCAGGTACAGAGAGCCAATCTGTAATATGTATATATGCATACACAAATGCACATACACATATATAATCCAGCTCTTCATATTCCTCTTGTAAACCAGTTTGTATATATGTATGTATGTATACATACATATGTATACACACACATACAAACACACACATATAATCCAGCTCTTCATATTTCTTTTGTAGGCCAGTTTATATGTATGTATGTATGTATATGTATATACACACACATATATATATATAAAATCCAGTTTTTCATATTCCTCTTGTAAGCCATTTGTATATATGTATACATATATATGTACATATATGTGTATATATGTATGTATATATATATATGTATATATATATATATATACACACACACACACACAATACACATATAATCCCGCTCTTCATATTTCTCTTGTAGGCCAGTTTCATATTCAGGAGTAGCAGCTTGCTCAGTGCCAGGCCCTGGTCTGCCCCACAACCTCAACTTCCTTTGCTCATTTTATCCTGTCTTCCTTATTTCTATCCTTCCCTCAATCTGAACAAGCAACATGTCGTTCTGGGATGCACTTCATTTGCCTTTTCTCTTTCTTTCTTCCTGTCTTATTGGAGAAACTGACCTCAATTCTTTAGCAGCCTTAATAGGATTTTTTGATTGTTGGGGGTTTCTCCCACTTTAGAGTGAGTAAAAACAAAACAAGAACTCTCCTGTGGCGACTCGGCCCCTGAGGACCAAGCAACCCTAAGTCTGCTGAGATCGCTGGGCTACTCCCGCCCCCACTCAGGGAAGAGGAGAGCTGCTTTGGCCCCTGCCTTGGGCCTAGCTTCTGCCTGCCCACTCTGGGAACTCCTGTCCTGGGGTCTGTAGGCAGATTCACTCAGCCCCTGAGGACCAAGCAACCCAGAGTCTGTTGACATCTCTGTGTTAGACCCTTTCCCACCCACCTGGAGAGCCAGTGCCTCAGACCCACCTGCACCCACCTTGAGACCCATCAGAGTACTGGACCCTCTTGCACCCACCAGAAGAGAACCTTGGAGCCAAACACACCAGGAAAGGAAGAGACACCACCTGCACCCATTGGAAGAAGAGATGGAGGACAACAATATAAGAACACATCCAACAACAGGAAAACCAATATGACACCACCAGAGTCTAGGGACTCTACACCAGCAAGACATGAACATCCCAACACAGAGGAAGCAGATGAGAGCAACCTGTTTCATCTGCATGAAAACAACTTCATGCAGATGATAAGAGAAGACCCTATGAGAGGAAAAGAGAAAATCCATCAGAGAAATGGAAGAAAAGACAAACCAAAAGATGCAAGAAATCAAGGAAAGCCAAGGAAATACAATTAAACAGCTGAAGGAAACAGTTCAAGACCTGAAAAATAAAACAGAGACAATAAAGAAAACACAAACTGAGGGAATGCTGGAAGTGGAAAAACTGAGTAAACAATCAGGAACCACAGATGCAAGCATAACCAACAGAATACAAGAGGTGGAAGACAGAATCTCAGACACAGGATAAACTAGAGGAAATAAATTCATCAAGCAAAGAAAATCTTAAGTCCAACAAATCCTTAACAAAATATCCAGGAGATATGGGACACTGAGAAAAAAAACCAAAAACCTAAGAATAATAGGTATAGAAGGTGAAGAAACCCACCTCAAAGGTGCAGAAAACATATTCAGCAAAATCATAGAAGAAAACTTTCCCAACCTAAAGAAAGACATGCCAATGAAAATACAAGAAGCCTACAGAACAACAAATAGAGTAGACCACAAAAGAAAGTCCCCTTGTCACATAATAGTTAAAACACCAAACATACAGAATAAAGAAAAAATATTAAGAGCAGCAAAGGAAAAAGGCCAAGTAACATTTAAAGGCAAACCTATCAAAATTACACCTGACTTTTTCATGGAAACTCTGGAAGTCAAAGGATCCTGATAGATATTCTACTAACACTAAGAGAACACAGATGCCAGCCCAGACTACTATACCCAGCTAAGCTTTCAATCACTATAAATGGAGAAAACAAGATATTCCACAACAAAACCAGATTTAAATAATATGTAACCACTAATCCAGCCCTACAGAAAGTGCTAGAAGGAAAACTCCAAAGGAAAGTAACTACACTCACAAAAACATAGGCAATAGATAATCCCACTTTACCAAAATCCAAAAGAAAAAGCAGGGTAAATCCACATACAATATCACTACCAACAACAAATCAAAACCAAACAAGAATAAGCACTCAATGGTCCTTAATTTCCCTCAATATTAATGGTCTTAACTCGCCTATAAAAAGACACAGGCTAACAGAATGGATACAAAGACAGAATCCATCCTTCTGGGGCATAGAAGAAACCCCCCTCAACTACAAAGACAGACATTACCTCAGAGTAAAGGGTTGGGAAAAGAAATTCCAATCAAATGGACCCAAGAAATGAGCTGACGTAGCTATCCTAGTATCAAATTAGACTTCAAACTAAAATCAATCAAAAGACATAAAGAAGGTCATTTCATACTCATCACAGGAAAAATCCATCAGGAAGAAGTCTCAATTCTAAATATCTATGTCCCAATTACAAAGGCACCAACATTTGTAAAGGAAACAGTACTAAAACTCAAATCATAAATAAGACCTCACACAGTTATAGTGGGAGACCACAACCCCAGCTCTCACCACTGGACAGGACCATCAGACAGAAACTTAACAAAGAGACAAAGGAACTAACAGAAGTTATGACCCAATTGGGATTAACAGGCATCTATAGAACATTCCATCCAAACACAAAGAATATATACCTTCTTCTCAGCATCACATGGAACCTTCTCTAAAATCAACATATACTCGGCAACATAGCTAACCTCAACAGGTACAAAAAAATTGGAATAACCCCCTGTGGTTTTTTGTTTGTTTGTTTGTTTTTGGAGACAGGGTTTCTCTCTGTAGCTTTGGAGCCTATCCTGGCACCCCCTCTGGAGTCCAGGCTGTCCTTGAACTCACAGTGATCCACCTGCTTCTGCCTCCCGAGTGCTGGGATTAAAGGTGTGCACCACCCCCCCCCCCCCCCCCCCCCCCCCCGTCCATGTCTTATCAGACCACCATGCTTTAAAGTTGGAATTCAAAAAAAGCACAAATTGCAGAAAACCTACCAACTCATGGAAATTGAACAATGACATAAAATATGGTCAGCACTCTGATGCAGATTAGGAAGCAAGTCACCCAGGTCACCAAAACAGAATGAAGTAGGGATGTGCCTACACAAAGCATCAATGTCTCCTGCCTGGCCACTGGCATTTCCTCCCCACAATTAGCATGTCGTCCTGACTCCATTCTTTGCCTGACTTATTTCATCTGAGCATGGTTTTTATAAACTCTAAGGCGTGGTGGTAGTGAAATAATGTGGGGGTTTCCAATCCTTTTTTCTTTTGGTTGTTGGTAAAGTGGATTAGTGGAAACCAGGAGAACAATACAAAGAATCAATATAACAAAAAGTTGGTTGTTCGAGATCAACAAGATAGACAAATCTTTATCCAAACTAACCAAAAGGCAGAGGAGAATGTGCAAGTTAACAAAATCAGAAACCAAAAGGGAGAAATAACAACGGACACTGAGGAAATCCAGAGAATCATCAGGTCATACTTTGAAAACATGTACTCCACAAAATTCAAAAATCTAAAGGAAATGGACAATTTTCTGGACAGAT